ACCAAGCCTACACCCTACTGTAATATTAGGCTAAATTTGGGCTTAAATACACTCAGGTGTTGCTGAGATCCCAGCTTAGTGGCATATATTTTGTTCTCTAATGTTTTAAGGGACTTTATGGGTTACTGGCAATTCAGTTGTTTGAATGGAAAATATCTAATTAATTTCAGAAAACATTATCTGTGTTGCTAAGAATTAACAGCTTAATGAATCAAGATCAAAAGGAGCTTTACAGCACTGGGGTATGCTGTCTATCAAATCAGATATGACCAGTCTTCTTGTCACTTTTGGCCATTAAAGATTTTATGATAATCTGGGGACTTTACCCCAACAGTCCAACTAAATTTGATCCCAAGCGATTATTTCATCTCCTCCTACATTTTCAATGAAGGGGGCTGCAAGTGTTGTCCTAAATGCCTGGGTTCTGCATGTGGATATTGGAGAATTAAAACGATGAAAGAAATGCTGTCCATGAACATTGTCTAATACTAAACATATCTGAAAACCAGTAGAACGCTCACCAGGAGGTGACTGGCCAATAGCAAATGCAGAGCAGTGAAATAATGGTATCAAACCAGTTAAGGATCACGTTTTCCTCCTAGGGTTGTCCATCTTGTAGGGCTGTGTGGGCACTTCCCCACCCAGTGCTATGACAGGGCATGTTCCCTGTGGAGGCATCATCATCAAGAGCATGGGAGATGGCGTGAGGCAAAGCATGGAGCATCTTCTGCAGCGGCAGTGGCATCACTCCCAGTGGCTGCTCTGCAGTCTGATTTTGGCTCCGTCTCTGTTCCTGTACTATCCCATCCCCACAGTACTTCAGCCTTGAGAAGCATGCCAAGGTTGTGTGATTTATATTTGCTAGAGTTAATTCTCTCTTCCTGTCACCTTTAAAATGGATTTTTTCCTTTTCATTCTCCCCAAAATTAAATGTGCTCTTACATGTTTATTTTAGGCCTGTTCTTTTATGCGCATTTCTTATCAGAGGGAAGGCCAATCTTTGTCTTGGCACAGGCAGATAGATGTTTGAGATGGTTCCCAAATGCTTTCAGAGGTGAGGAATGTTTCTTTTCCATTTCTAAAACCTGTATTAAGTCCTTTGCCAAACCCTGCAAGTCAGTCTTCATGCCTTTATTGAAGAACTTTGGGATAAGTTCACAGCAAGAAGGTGGTCAGAGTCAAAGGAAGCTTTTCTTTCCTTAAGTTTTGTATTTAAAATATTTCTCCTTTTTTTTTTTTTTTTGCAGCTGACCATGCCTGTGGTGATTTTATCATATAAGTTTGTATAAAACATGTTTCTATTAAATAAACATACATATGCACACATAAACATACATATATATTTCTCAAGACAGAAGTTAAGAGGTGCTTCTGCATTTTCAGATGTGTACCTGAACCCTTCACAAGATCACATCTCCTCTCGCAGTCTTCTTGAACAGAGCTACCAGACCATTAAACCACTGTCACTCTCCATTAGTCAAGCCCAGTACATTTTAATTTGTCCTTCAACCTTCTCACAAAATCTTCATTAGAGAAATGGGTATGCAAGAAGAACAGAAAAGTCTTCACCTCACAGGCCGTAATTCAGATTTTACTTGTTTTCTCACACACAAGCTGAAGATGTCTCTGGAGTAATTAGTAAAAGAATAGCATTAATTCTGCTTCTCACTGATGAGGATGCTTCATTAGGATTGATTGCTCATTTCCAAGATTATACACGGCTAAAATAATTACCAGTGGAGAACACAAGGCACTGAACAACATGTATATCCTTTAGACCACCAAAGTAAATAGACCCTTAAAATAAGTTTAATACTTTTATTTTTAAGTTATGTATAAATGAGGCTTTCCAGGAATAACTGTCAATTGAATTAGGGCCCTATGACTTAATGTGAATCTCTGTTCCTTTTCCCTGAGGGTTTTTGTATACGCACATACAAGAATCTGTCTATGTGCACATACGAGAGTTTATTTAGGACTGGATGAGAGACCACTAAAGGCCACCATAAAGTAAGAGAAGTCACAGTTCTGTTTCACTTTCATTGGAAAGTCATCACCATCAAGCAATTGACTTATGCTGATAGATTGTGCCTGAGTCTACTTCACACAAAATTTCCAGCTGCAAAAAAATCACACCAGAAGCCCTCATCTTCTGATTCTTCTGCTGTCTCTTACAAAAGAAAGGCCTATGAATGAAGGACATCTAGTACCTGAGTTTTTTCCTATGCTATTCCTATTTTTTCATTTCTTCCATGTTGGCCTCATTTCCGAGCAGCTTCTTTAATTGGGACAAAGTGTTATAGGAGATCATAGGAAGCTGGTTTTGTCCTCACCTGAAGTCATTAACACTGCTGCCTGGCTTTGCAGACTGCAGAACTGCCCATTCAGTTTGTAGTACAAGGCAAAATATTAACCATTATGTGTAGATTTTGGCAGGCAAGGAAGTAAAGAGATTTCACATAAAATGAACAAAACTATACAGAACAGAAATGCGTGGCCATCCAAACAGAAACATGAAAAGACTACGTAGAGATATAAGAGAAAACCAGAACATGCCCTTTCCTAATGAGCTCTTTCCTGATATATACCTTAACCCGGATAGAATGGGTATTAACTGTCAGGAAAAAAAAAGCCATCTAGAATGTATTAACATAGGCTGAGCATTTCTCACATCAGTCCTGAAAAGATAAGGGCAACATTAACACAAGAAGATCAACCCAGTGAGAGGACCAGTAGCTGCCCCAGTAGAGAGATGCACCACACCTCATCTTGAGCTCAGGATTTTGAGGTGCTGCCTCCAGGGTAGCAGCTGCAATTACAGGCAGACTGTTCAAAAGGTGCAGGCAAGCATTTAAGGAACCTTTTTTGGTCTGTGGAAACGTAGCCATCCTTTGCTTTGGTGGTCTAAATGAGAGATTGGAGAGAGCAGACCCACCAATTCTCCTTCCACATGTACCTAGAGCTTTGAATCCCAAAGAGCCTGGACAGGTGTAAAAACATCTGGAACACAAAAAAGGAGCCTGTATTGTCTACTGTTGCTACCTACCGTGCAGTGAGAGATAAACTGCAGCATAAACTGCAGGGCACCAAAATCCTGGTCATTGGGAACTGGAGCTGCCCATCATCATTAGGACTCACCAGTGGGAGGGGAGTAGTCAGAGCAGGGGTGGAAAGGGGGAGCAGTTAGGCAACGAGTGGGAGCAGGGAAGCAAACTGGCAAGAAGCTACGGGACAGAATGGCCTGTGTAAGGATCGGGGGGCAAGTAAAAGACAAACACAAGGAAAGATACAGGGTGTGTGCAGGGGGACCTGCCCAGATAGCAGTTGAGGGGAGAAGCAACAAAGGGCAAAAGGAGAAAGCAAAAGTCTCCCCTTTCCCCTCAACCCTCACCCCTTTTCCCATTAAAGGCATTTAAAGATATCCTAGTGTTTTTCTGATGTTTCCTTTCCCACCAAAGCACATCCTGCAGTTTTTGTGCTGATGGTAAGTCTTGATGAATAGGAGCCAGGAGGGTTAGGAAACGCAGCGGTGGTCTTAGGTAATTACAGCTAAGAGAGGAAGTCCCCTGAAGCAACCTTGATAAAGTTACAGCCTGAAAGGGCTTCGTGATCCCTGCCCTAGATACAACACAGATACGTTACCAGTACACACAACAACACGTGCAAACACTGTTACAGAAGGACACTGAGAACCTTGTGGTAAGGGCAGGTTTGTCCTATAAGGGAAACGGTGGTGCAGAGGGTCCGGGAACACCTACTTACCAGTTAAGTGGCTGGCAATCCTGGCAATAGGTTTAGGAGGCAGGGCAGGGGGCTGTTTGAGGAGGGACAACTGTTTCACTGGGGTGTCCTCATGGTCTCCAGGGAAAGCGGCAGATTTTTTTGGGGGAAGTAGCAGGACTGGCTTAGCTGTAGGATCTTGGGAGAGGAGGACGCTGGATTCATTGGATGTGGGGCTCTCTTCAGACACTGGAGGACACAACCACATCATAGACGCAACAACGTTACGAGCAAAGCAGCAGCGGATACAGCCGCAGTAAGACAAGAAAAGCAGCACAGCAATGCAGATTAAGAACGACTAATAGATTTCACTCAAACGTCATATAACATAGAAAGGAGGAGAGAAAGAAAGAGAGAAAAAGAGAAAGAGAAGGAGTAACAAACATCTACACAACAGCCGAGTTTCCCATTACCTCTGACAGAAGCCAGCTCCCTTATGCCAGGCTGGGATGTATTCCCACATCTTGAACACAAATCAAGAGCCTTAAAATGTCACATCTCAGACGGTCTGTCACCACAGCTTGCTCAGGACCACATATGTTAGCGTGTGGTCTCTAAACTTATCCTATAAATGTAAAAGCACCTCAGGGGGCCGACTCCATTTCAAAGCGGCGGCATAGCTGTCCAGGATCACGGATGAACACTTCTACCAGTCACTTTTCCTCACTTGACCTTTGCCTGCAACTCTCAGCATTAAGTGATGCAGAAGGAGGAGCTAACCTAGATGTACAGCGTTGCTCTCTCTCTGCATGGGCCAGGGAAGAAGTGCATAGAGCCTCACCCAGGGTAGGGCTGCTGGCTGTGTGAGCTACTGAAAGATGCACGGTGTGAACGTCAACCAACACCATGCGGCAGCTAAACGGCATGATGTTGTACCTGAGGGTTTAAAAATGTTATCAGCTCTCTACTCTAGAGCTCATTGGCACAAGCTGAGATGTAGCCAGAGAGTTAGAAATCTACTCTCAAATGTTCACAAAGCACAGTGACTTTGCTTTAACAAAGAGGTTACTTGCTTAGAAGCAGAGGTTACTTCTATGCCAAGTCAGTGAAAATTTCTCATGAAGCATCCAGTGACAATCTGTGTGTTGTCACCTCCTTCTCCACCTGAAGATCTTTGTCTTTGACAAGGATTTCTCAGGGCTAGGCACCAAATGTTAGAAGTCAAAAACTTGTTTCAAACGGCTTAGAGTATCTACATCATAATGTAAAAAAGATGTTACCTGTCCCATCCATGATCTCTGCAGTTGGGAGCACCTCATATGAGCAGGGTTCCCCAGACGTTGGACCTGACTCCAGTTCTGCTAGGGCTGGCAGGGATACCTGGCTAGAGCTCAGCACTTGCCCGGAGCCCAGAGGCTGCCCATTCTCCAAAGCTCCTTCTTCATTTGGTATGGAAAGTTCCCCATCTGTTCATAGTTGGAGAAAAGCAGAATGACAACAGAAGACATATAAATAACATGCAGAAATAATTTAAAATTAAATCTGCTATCTCCATGAGCTTGCTTGCAAATGAGGAACCTGAACTGAGATCTTGTACGTATACAGAAGACATGGAGATAAGGATCAAAACAATATGGTTTGTGTCTCAAAAATACAACTTGTGCAGAGCAATTTTTGGAGATATCTGACCGTGACGTTCTGTCCAAAACAGTTTCACAGAAGCCTGATAATATTCCACTTGCCTTAATGGATTACTAAGATTTGGGAAAGATCTATCAAATATTTGTGTTGATCCTTTGCTTACCCTAGGATGGTAATTATGATCCATGGTCTAAGCTGGATGGTTCCTGACCATCCTCCACCTATGGGGCCATGTGGTCCCATCCACAGCCACAAAATCTGTTGTCTCACTGTCTCTGTTGAAGCTGGGAAGTCAGGAATGAGAATGGGCTGGAACTGATGCTATGGAGCTTAAAGAATACTAATATACACAGTATATAACTTACTATATTTTAATAATAATAACAAGGATCATTCTTTTCCCTTACACCGATTTTTATGCTGTAAGGGACACAAGCCAAATCACAGAAGTATGTCCCTATTTTAAACACAAATAAAACATTACAGCTCCCAGCATCAAGATTTTAAGTAAGGGAGAGAATAATATTTTTTTTTTTTTTTGGTGCAAGGTCTTGATACTGGGATATAGCAGATTCCATTTAGAAAGCCTGTTTTTAAAGTTATTAATAATATCTCCTCTAAGCAAAATTTCTGTAACAGGAGCTGGTAGTTTCTTTCCTATCAAACGTCACTTCACATTAGAAATAATAAAGAACAGGAGCGAGGGATCAGATCATTCTCTATGGTGTCAACCCGCGTGATTTTTATCTCAGAACTTGTTATGCACAGCACTCTGGTACCTGGAGGCAATGACTACATGGATATCTCAATTACAGTTTTATAAGGAAAATGTTCAGCCCCTATGGTTATGAGTGGAATCTTGAAAATATAACCAGAATGTGACCTGTAAGGCTAAAAAACAGCAGGCAAATAAATGAAGCCTAATTTTACTATGCATTTAAATTATTCTTTTAAATCAAACTCAGGATTTCAGGATCTGGTTCTTGATTTTTGGCCACCTCTGATTAGTCATATTACTGCTCAATGTACCGAGCAGAGATGTACATCATTCAAGTGAGTGCACATTTTTCCCTTACACGGCTAAGATTTTCAAAACACTTTGGAAAACAATACTGAAGAAAGAAAAAAATGTAAGTCTCACTTAAGCGTCAGGACACAGCAATTAACAAGTCTGAATGTATGTTAGCTGATAAGTATTCAGAATTATGTTTCTGCCTTTTAAAGCTTCTGCACAGTGAGTGAAGATGGTCTCCTCCTTATTCTGGAGTTATTAGAAATACCAAGGTCTTGACTCTTTTGTTTTTGTTGGAAGCTTTCTGAAGACCTAGAAAGCTATTATGGTACATAACCACATCACACCAGACTGAAACCTGACCCACGGCTTTCAGAGCAATCAACTGAGCTGGCTAAAAGGTGGCAACATCAATGAAAACCAAAGTTTTTGGTGAATTGTTTGCAGCACAGTCTCCTAACTGCTGCGGTCATTCAATACAAACGCATTTATTTCCCTAGGCAGCAAAAATCAAACAACAGTTCAGCCAGTATTGACTTAGCTGTTTGGGTGGAAATACGATGTATTCTGTGCTTGCTCTCTCTCCCTTTTATAAACACAGACCTCTACACGTGTTTGGGATAGGGGCTGCTGTTGTCTTAGTTACCTGGTTTCATGAGAGAGCGTAACTGTTTCTTATGCAGAGCAACTGTTTCTTGAATGAAAGGCAGTGATTGTGTCCAGCAATATTCATTAATTCAGTGCAGTTCTAAATTACACTGTATCCATGAGCAGATAATAAAGGTATGCATGATAAAACCAGTACCATTTTTTTTTGGAGGGATGTCTACACATTTTTAATGAAGTGGGATGCCTACAGGAACATGCTGAGCACCTTGAAATCTTACTGTCTTGAGTGCACTTTGCACTTCTCAAGGTATATTCAGCACGATTTAAGAAGACAGCATTCAAATGACCCCTTGAAAGTTTACGATTGCAAAAAAGTAGACTGTGAAATAAAATTTTGGCTTTTACTTTCTGTCCTAACAACAAGTATGACAGCCCTCTTGTACTGACAACATACCTCTTTTAATCTTACCTCTGAATATCTCCAATATTCATTTAGACTCTAAAACTTGTCCTTGGATTTGACTGAAATCATCAGACATGACAGAGAATCATGACTGAAATACACACCCTAAATCTGATCCCACTTAAAGGAGAACTACATGGGGAGCTCCTCAAGTACAGCAAACAGATCAAAGATGCAGATAAAATAATTTGTAGAATGAAGAATATCTTAGTGTGAATTAATCCTGCATCACAGACATGCTTGACAACGAGATATAAAATGCAAATTGCTTATTATTTTTAAAGTACGAAAAGCTATTCTGGTTAGCTGACATACAAATGAAAAGAATCCTGGTAATGCAATTATTGCATATACATGGATGAATAGATAAGTCTTCAGGAACTGGCTATGAGTTTAAAGTTAATTTTGCACAGTGATAACATATGTTATCTTTTGTTCTCACACTTGCTAAATCCTTTGCCGTGTTTTCACAGAGCCTGCTGCTACTTAGTGGAGAACGACTTTCCCTAAATGCATGAGCTTTGACAATGCCAGCTGAGTGTGAAACAGCTGGAGCTGGATGGGACCGCAGACAGTAGCTTCACCTCTCCAGCAACAGGAGCACATGAAGGCTCCTCTTCTGCTTTGCAGGAGGCTCCACACACCTGAAGTCACTGAAGAAAAGGGAACTCAGAGGAAACTCTCTGATGCAGAGGACTCTACCCAGACGCTTTGATTCACCTTAGCATGTGAAAATAACAGCATGGGGTGACAGCCCAGAAATGCACACATGATATGTTCAAAACATGTGGCCCCTAAGCATGGTTTGTACTCCTGAACTCACCTGCCATTTCCACTTCCAGGTACTTTTAAAAAATTGCCTGGCATGAAGCAGCCCACAGTGCATCATGCTGACTGGTACAAACCGGTCCTTTTGTTGTTTCTTTATGTTGGAGCTCTGCCTACTCTCTCACTGTGTCTTTTCACTCTGAACACCTCGGGCAAGGGAACTTCTTGCATGTCTGAAAAGTGCCACGCTCATGTGCTCCTTCCACAGACAAATGGCTACGGAAGTCAAAATCATGAGGAGAGTGCGAAATCCTGAGTTATTTTCCACTTTGGGTTGTCTCCTTCAGTACTTGCCTATTCTCAAGTAAGACTGTCCAGGCAAGCATTCTCGATGGCAAAGGCTAGGAACGGCAGAGAAAAAATCATGTCCTTCTCTCCAATGGCCCCCATGGGCTAGGGGATGGCAAACTGAGTGTTCTTGCACGTGGTCAAGACCTGTACCCAGGGCTGTTTCCTAGCCTTGGTGGCTACCTTAGCACAGTGGCTAGGATCCTCCTTGATTTCAGTCTCTAAGCAGACCCTTCATTTTGTGGGATCCTGTGGAGTTTGAGACAGGCTGACCTACGAATGTCCTCCCTGCTTCTGGAGGAGTTTGAATCCTTTCAACATATTGAAACTGCAGCACAACTGGCTCTCCGGTGGCTGCCATGCCTTTCTCCTTGCTCTGTTACCAAAACCACTTCTTCAAACTTATGCTCGCATACTGCCACAAAACCTGCCTGAGCACATAAGTGCCACATTTCTGAATACTGTCAGGATTTAGGTAACCTGAAATTTGGGTCTAAATACATCATTTTGATTAGATAGAGAGTACAAAAATATAAAAGTATAAAAGATGAAGACTGCCCATGCTTCCTTGCAGAACCACTGCACCATTGTCTTAGTAGCAAACAGTCAGTACGCGCTTATATTCAGAAATTTCTCACGATGGTGTCATGGTTTTGGCTGGGATGGAGTTGACTGTCTTACTGGCAGCTGGTGTAGTGCTGTGTTTTGGATCTGGGATGAGAACAGTGTTGGTAAAACACTAATGTTTTTGGTTGCTGCTGAGCAGTCAGGGCCTTTTCTGCTCCTCACACCGCCCCACCAGCGAGTAGGCTGCGGGTGCACAAACAGTTGGGAGGAGAAACAGATGGACAGCTGACCCCAACTGACCAAAGGGATATTCTGTGCCATGTAACATCATGCTCAGTATATAAAGCTGGGGGAAGAAGAAGGAAGCCGGGGACGTTCAGACTTACGGTGTTTGTCTACCCAAGTAACCGTTATGCATGATGGAGCCCCGCTTTCCTGGAGATGGTTGAACACCTGCCTGCTGATGGGAAGCAGTGAATGAATTCCTTGTTTTGCTTTGCTGGCATGCATGGCTTTTGCTTTACCTGCCTTTGTTCTCGACCCATGATTTTTCTCATCTTACCCTTCTGATTCTCTCCCCCATCCCACCATGGTGCTTGGTTGCCAGCTGGGTTTAAACTACGACACTACAGGCAATCTCATCTATGTTCAGATAAAAGAAGAGGTATCAAAATACTACAAGTAGATCTAATTCTTTGACTGGCACCATGGAACATTGGGCAATTCTAAAGATAGATGCTTTTGGGATGGTTACACCTTCATGTGAAAAATCAAAGCTATTTATCTATGTGTGGGAGCAATAGTATAGCAAAAATGTGAGTTCTTCTAAATGCTGTGGTATGTTCTGAGTTGCAGGTGGAAGCTGTATTTTTAACTTCTCGACACTGCCTGCCCACAAACTATTAGAACAGCAGGTGCTTCATCAGATACTTCTTCAACTTACTGTTTTTCCAGAAGTACACGGTATTTGAAAAAATTACAATCTTTGCCTACATTTTCAGAAGACTCAAGTCACAGAACCCTGTAAATGGAAGATGACAGAAACTGATTTGGTCACGAGTCTGGCCCTTGCCAAGAAAAGAGCTCTCTGAAGTTCAGTCTGGAGTGGTTTCACTTGACTAGTTTAAGCATGGGGGTCACTGAAGTGATAAAAGTATTTCTTGTTTCCCAAATATAGCAGCCGGACAGCACTGACTCTCCCATGTGTGAACACTGTGACTTACTGCGCTCTGCTAACTTTCACCTGCTGGATGACACAAAGTCCTCTGAAAACCCAGCAAATCCTGAAGCAAACAGGTCAGAGTGTCATTTTATACAGCAGGTGAATAAACTTGCTAATTCTGTTTTTCTTCAACAGAGAAGATGTAATTAAACCAATACTAAGCACACTGCAAGCTCCAGAATTTTTGTTCTTGGGTCAGTCTATCCATATTAAGTTTCCTTGGATCTGTATGGATTTTTTTAAGAAAGAAGGCAGCAAAATTACTCATTCACAGGCTGATTCTGTCTGCTTTGTCTTTCTCTTAGGAAAGCGAGACAGATTTAACATTATGGTTACACCTATTGTCTGTGCAAGATGCCTCTTGGCATGGAAGGCGCTACCATCATCAAATAAAGCCTTTTGCTATGAAGTGCTAAAGTCTGCTGTGTTTTCTTGAAGGATTAGAGATTCCCCAATGGGAATTACAAGGAAAATGTTACTTCCACTTAAGGTTTGCAGTGAGATACAATACCCTTTATTAGAATTACTCTCAGATTATTACACCACTGAAGGAAATATTGCTTTTGCTCTACAAATCTTGCCTTGCTCATATCCTTATATCATCAAAGCTACTTGATCACTGCTACAATACTTGTGTATTAGCACTTTCCTCTCTGCCCTACCTCTTTCTTTTGAGAAGGGGTACCAATTCTTAGCTTCTGCCTTTGCAGCCAGCAGGAAATAATATAGGACACTGAATAAGAAGTCCAGTTGTTTTGTGTTACAGTTTCCCCTTTAGCGGGCACCTGACAGTGAAAAAGTCCAATGTCTCTGCTTTTTGCACTGGCAATAGGAAGAAGCAGCAAGTATTTCATACCAGCTTTTTCTGATATGAAAAGGTGAAAAGTGACTATAAAGAGAAATTAATTTCTTTTTTCAGATGAAGACCTCCAGACAGCTTAGCATGTGTTTCACAAGATGACACGGAACATTACAAACGACAGTGTTATTTGATGAATGGAGAAAGCTGTAGTGCTTTGGTAGCGAAGCAGGGGGCATCTCCCCAGGTTTCAACACGGAGGGCAGGGTCAGGCTGCCCAGAAAAGATTTTTCCTGGGGATGCCTTTAGGTGTATGTAGGGGTGGGTTAGAAAGCAGCTATGTGTGGGATGTGAGGCAGAGATGAAGGAGAGCACAACCTGGATGGAAGTGTGACTGAAGGCGGTCTTCTGAGCTGGCCAGGGCACTGAATGGGCAGCTATGCCCTGGCCTCCCCTGGGCTGCAACACATCTGGTGTGACAGCCTGGACTGTGCCTCGCTGGCCGCAGGGACACCTGCCTCATGGCTGCGTATCCCATCTGATTCACACTCCAAAACGTGGACAACCCAAGGCAGTGAGAAGAGCAAACCTTTTGCCAGGTGTTGGTTCTACCCTGGAGTTGCATCTAGGATGACTTCCAAGGCAGCAGGCCATAGTGAAAGCTCAGGCAGTGTTAGATCTAAAGGACTAGCAGCATCTAAAATATGCAATGGGTAACAACTGTAGAATTTAATGACAAGCAGCATATTTCTTTGGTTTTGCAATGTTTTTTTTAGTTTTTAAAAAATGCTGTCTATTTTCACATGATTTCATGTGGTCTATCTTGAACAGTACCGGCAAGATGTATGACTGTGTAAAGATGCCAGTGATTCAGTAAAGATGCTTTACATGTGCTGAGGAAGACTTCTTGTGACATACTGTTGGCACTACTATTTCTTTGTGGCAATTACTAAGACTCAAGAATTTGCCAGAAATATTCAGTATTTTTTTAGGATAAAAATGAAAGAATCAAGTTGTTTTGGTTTGTTTTTTTTTTTTAATTAAAAAAATAAACAATTTGGGTTAGTAATTTTTTAAATTCCCAATAAGCTAGACTAAAAAATTAGGTAGCAGATTTAAATGCTCCAGACTTTATGAGCTAGACCCTACTTCAAATATCATAGAATCACAGACTCATAGAATGATTTGGGTCAGAAGGGACCTTAAAGATCATCTAGTTCCAATCCCCCTGCCACGGGCAAGGACACCTCCCGCTAGACCGGGTTACCCAAAGCCCCATCCAACCTGACCTTGAATACCTCCAGGGATGGGGCATCCACAACTTCCCTGGGAAACCTGTTCCAGTGTCTCACCACTCTGACAGTAAAGAATTTCTTCCTAATAGCTAATCTAAATCTACCCTCTTTCACTATCTGTGAAAGATTATAACTCCTATTGACTTCCAACAGGTTTCATACTGGTATTGTTAAAGACTTTTAGACTTTGAATTAATGAGGCTTTAAAGCACATGCATAAGTTCTACTGAAATTAAGAGGCAACTTTGGCATGTCTTTATATAATTTGCTGAATTCATTGCCTTAGTTATTGACAAGGGAAGCAGCAAAACAAATAAAAGCTGTGGTTAAAGACTGACACGTAATAGATGTCAAATATGTGTTGCATTACCAATGTAAAACAATGGTGTTTATAAAACAATGGCATTTTGCATAAATAATTCATTAGCAACTCAACAAATTAATTTTCCTGAACAAGGAATTATTTTGTCTTCTGAGCTATTTCAAGGGAATGTGCACTGTTCTGTGCTTGCCAGTATCCAAAACCTTTAAATGTTTCCCTTTTCCACAGCAGAAAACCCCAGAGTGACTCAACCAGACAATGATAACATGTGCAGGCACGGACCCACTCCATCTCCCCACAGTCTGGATGCCTTGCTGTTTTGCAGCAAGTGACTCCTGCACACTGCTGTGACTTATATTTCTACCGCTTTATATTCCTGATTGGCTTTCTGTTTTATTTGCGAGATAACTATCACATGTATCCAATAGGGAGGGCCAGCCCACAGTGAAATCAAGAGAGATGTTTGGAGACCTTAATTCTGCACAGTCCTGCAATTCAGGACTGTATTCCCAGTTCTTATTGTTACAATAACGTACCATCTAGCCACAAAACTATATGGGATGTCAATTTAATATTGTGAAAAGAACACTTACCTTTATCAAAAATTTCTTTCAGCACTCCTCGTTTTATAAGCTCCTCTCTGCTTTGCCTCATTGATATTTTTCTTTCCAAAGCTGTAAGCAAAATAGAAGGGACAATATAAATAGAAAAGAAGGGAAATGGTTGTTTTAAAAGGCTCTATGCCTTTTAAGGCATTTAAAAAATGCTTTTTCTTCTCTTCAAGTCAGTGGCAAATTAGCATCTCAAAATAAAGGCTACTAGCTGTCCAGAGAATCTGCCTGCTGCTGTAGCATGGCCATTATTGACAGAAATGACTACAGACTGACCAATCTGAGGGCATGCCTGCACTCCCACTGCTTAATTTTGACACGACTGAAGCACTGCCGTGGAGAATTAGACAGCAAAGGGAGAAAAAGGCAATTAGTGCAGAAACTGGAGGGGTAAGGTAAGAAAGGAGGCAACGCGAAGGATCACACCAATGAAAGACATGGTCATGGACTGTCCCCAGGCCATAAAAAAGGACTGGCACCTCTGCTGCCCTGAAGCCAAGGCTTGTTTCCCATTAATTCCAGTGACAGCAGAGCAAGGTGTTTCGGACTGTGGAAAAAAAGAGCTGTTTAATGGAGCCCTCTCCTTCCTGGAGGGGTGTTTTCACCCAAAAAAAGGTGTAAATGAGGGCAACTTCATGAGAGCCACTGCAATTTACACCAGGTTTGAAGAACTCGAGTCCTGTATTGCCTGCTTGGAGACCGTGGTCACTGGGGCAGCAAAACGACAGACAGAAATTTCATGTTTGTTTAGTTCAGCAGTAATTAAAACAATGTCCAATTAACCAAAACACCACAAAGGACATGCATTCAGGCAAAGAGCTGAAAGCCAGCAAGCAAGGGGCGCAAGAAGTGATGTGCAGGAGTGGCTGCGACTGCATGTGCTCTGCGAGAAACAAGCCTCTGCCTGCCAAAAAAGAGGCACAGTCAAGGGCGAATCGCTTCTGCCATATGCTCCCCTATCAGACCCAGTGCAGATGCACGCACACACAAATGAACTGGGACTTAGCATCTCCTGTCTGCCCAAGGCAGATTTAAAGCAAAAAGAGGCTCCGAAACCCTCTCTCCATCCCTGAAAACATGAGGGTGTAACCTTTTCTGGCATTGCTGCACGTTGGCTGTTCCCCAGGGGCACAGTATACATGATGAATTAGCTATACTTATACTGACACACTGCACTCATTGCAACTTATTTGCTGTCAGATATGTACAGCTTGGTATGAGCAGGGCTGGCTCTGCATCACCCTTTTCTATAGGATAAATTTAGGTTTCCCCATTTTTAAAATCAGTTTTGAACATGTATTCTTCAGGACAAAGAAGGTCAGTAGGTACAGTCAGTAGCTAATAAAAACCCTGGTCTCCCCGAAACACACCCTCTGAACTTCAGCATCGATCAGAGTTAATAGCAGGTCCCTTTGCTGAGGCACAAGACCCCATACCCATTAGCCAGTGACAGTTTTATTTTTGAGGCTGTTAACACAACAGCCACAGCATTTTCCATTTGATGAAGCTCTTCAGGCACCTCACTGACTTTCAATGAAACTTCGATTTCTAAGTTTCTAATAGGCTTCTGAAAAGAAATACTCAACAATCAGACTTTGGAGTCACGTTGCACGCTGCTCCCCAACCTGCCTTCTCCGTGCACTGGAGGCGCCCTGTTCTGCTACGGTATTTAAAGCTTTCCCCCCTTCCTCCTTAACAGCTATCCCTGCCCCCTCCAAAAAAGCCAAAACAAGCTACCGCTAACTCCGGAGCTTTCTCCCACCAAAGAAATTGTTAAAACCCTAAATAACTTTAAAGAGCACCTTGGTGGCACTCAACACCTTTACCAATAGGTCTGAGAAAGTAAAATTTTCTGCTAGTGTGAGCAGCGAAGAGCACCCAGGCTGTCCCAGCTTGTTCTTCGGTGGGAAATCAAGTTGGGTGAAACCACAACAAAGCAGCAGTTTTTGCATATAGACAGCAGCACTGCTCACAAAACAAAGACATGGACAAATACTGCTTTTCCTGTATTTTACCTTAAAGAGCTAAGTAACAGATCTGCATTTTTCATACAAATTCACTGGCATCCACCCGGGTTCACCATCTCACCCTCCTGCCTAGTCACCAGCTGGCTACACAAGTAGCAGCACTACTACCCACTTCATGGCTAGGAAGTCCCATCACCTTATTAAAACAGTGGTAAGAAACACAGTAATTCTGTGGATTGGAAAGAAGAGTTCTGGGGGATCAAGTGCTAAACAGGGCTAACAGGACATTTTCAAGGCGTGCAGGAGAGTCTCTCAAAACTATTGCTGAGGAAGACACTCAAGTATTGACTAAGACTCCTCAAAGTCATGGACTATTTTTGCATTCTAGCAGAACTTTGAAGATAGAATATATATTTTTGGAAGACTGCACACACACAGGCTTTTCAGACACTCCCTTTTAGTTGTAATCTGCTGCTGCTCAAGAATGAAAAAAACCCACAACCCTCCAGTTTGAAGCTCAGACTAAAACAATTTTTTCAGTTCCTAAATCCTTTCTAAGTAGGTGCAGGACTTAAAGTATTAATTATTTTCCTACTAAGCCAGTTTAATTAATAAGATATTTAGAGGAAGGGCATGCTGGGCTAAGAGCTGCACTGAATGATAATAACAGATGTTATTCTAAAACTATGGAACATGCTGCCTTCCTTTAATACAAATCTTCCTCCCAAACAACTCCCGTACATTTACGTGCATAAACTGCCATGCTACGGCTGGATCAGATAGAAAAAAATCACAAGCGCTTAGATGCAGAACTCATTAGGATCTAACAGCCTGAACAATGAAATGCTTCACTCGGTCTGGATTTCTCTGGCAAAGATTGCCAGTTCTTTTACGAAGGATTTTCTTTTCAAGCAGAAAGCTGATGCAAAATAAATTCATTCACTCTCCACTGAGAAGGGATCCATTCACAGCACAGGATAAATAAAAGCCTCTGAATTAATACTTGATTCATGAGAACATTGTAAATTCAGTGATGGGGAGAAATTAAACATAATTAATATTTAACAAAAGATGTATTACTTCATTAGTAATTTTCCTTGGTCATTAACCTCATTTTTTTCATTTGTACAATCTTCCAGGAGATTAGGAATAAGCATTAAGCCCTCTTCATGGGGTCTACTTATGCCAGAAACTGGTTAACTTAAAAAAATCCATCCATTCTCCAAGGAACTTTCAGTCACTAGTTTATAGAAATGACCGTATGTGTATTTTATGGTATAAGTGTACTGATTTTGCCAGTGTGCTCTGCAGTATGCCGTTTCTTTTAAGCTCTGAGGAAGAAACAGTGGGAAATGTTTTTATTAATGTTTCTGAGCCGGTGTTGTTGAACTTGTCCCTCAGGAGCAGCACCCCTCCGCTTTTCAAGCAGAGATTTTCTCTGTGGCAGAGCCATTAAGATCAGTAAAGCCTTGAAAGGGTCAGGAGGATTTCCTGCCCCTCCGTTCTGGAAATCAAGTATAGTTTTGTCTTTATTCCTTTAATAAGCCACTGCGCTCCACAGTGGCAGTGATTGTGGGCTGCTCCTCCAGCTGAGAAGGTGAAGCTCGCCACTGCTTCTGTGCCAAGTGCTTCTGCTGCTCCATTAACCAGCCAAAGAGGCGTTTACGTAGTCAGGACAGGTAACCTTTCTGTCCTTCCCAGCCTTCCCTCCAAGACCAAAACATCTCAGGTGAACTCTTCCAACCTGCATCTGTATGAGAATAAACCGGTCCCTTTTGCATAACTTGTCATGCTGCTGCTTAAACCAAGGGGCAAACTAAATAAACAAGTCCTGCCCTTTCTCCTCATCTGACAATTGAAACTAAACCCCAGTCCGTGCTAGTCAGTTGAATCTTATCCTTGTTTTTTTCTGAGGCTGCCCTTGGCCTTTGTCTTAAAAAGCACTGGGGGTTGCTTTGCATGAATTCTGCCCTTCAAAGGCCACTATAATTTTCATGATGATTTTAGGAAGCAAAGGTCATTATAGGAATGGAGCTTAGAGCAGAAGCTTTCTGGTGTATCAATTACATTTGGATTCAACAGGCAGAAATTTGCTTTGCTAATAATTCAGATCTGAATAATTAAAAACAAGTAAACCAATTGCTTTGCACAGTGTTAAGATAAACAACCATCAACGTATCCTTTAGACTTGTAAGGAAGGTAAGATTTTCAGATGTGATGGAGTATGTATCAAAACATGTCACACCATCTTGAAATTCTTCCAACTATGTAGACTTTCTTGATAACCAAATGGAGCAGGATTCATCTGATACAAATTTTTACAGTGTGAACTTCTGCCTCCAAGCAATTCCTGGGCATCATTGACCTCAGACTAATGTAAGTACCTAAAACAGTCTGAATCGCACCTTGGAAGTGCCTGTTAGTCTTTACTGACCATAAAGGAAGCTAAGGGTGAGTACCTGAGATAAAGATGTATAAAATTAGGGCTGAATCCACTCCTGAAATCAAAATGGACTGAAGAGGGTAGTTTTAAGAAAAAAAATGCTGCTGTAGGTGAAAGTCTCAGACAGATCTGAGGAAAATGTAGATGTGTCAACGCACACAGAGCTCTGTTAATTTTGGGATTGTTTCAATAGCTGTGGCATGACACCCAGCACTGCTGCTGTGAGCTTGGGGTTTGACCAATGCCAAAACATAGCTTGGTTGAAATAACTGTTTTCCTTTGCTCAGTGCTAAATAAGAATTTTGCTTGGCTTCAAACACTTGTAAGTCTCTTGAAGCCTGAGGGAAGAAAAAACATCCCAACAGTTTTTTCGAATCTTTGAGATCTAAAGTTCCTTACAGAAGTTTTGGGTCTCTCTAATCTCGGCCTAGGTTTTCCTATAACAGTACCATCTACAAAATCTGACTCAGATTACTGTCTAGAAAGGATTAGGACCCCATTTTTTGTCTGTGATGTCCACACATGACATTTCTTGTTCTGACTGTAGCCTAGCACCCCTGTTCTATGACATTACAAAATAAACGAACATCAGCAGGGAAAATAGGTATGTGTATTAGAAGTTAAGCTCCATTTAAAAAAAAGAATTGCAAATA